AAATGAAATACATGACAACACATAACACATACTAAATAAACAACTATCGTGCTATGTTCAGTAAAATTTACAGTTATTTCCTAAATATAGAAAAGTGTTTCTTTCACTATATTTCTAAAATTTGTCATCTGATCCTTTTTATCCCACAGGCCGGAAAATACCCAAAATCTTAATTTATAATATATACTTATATTTAATTTTAAAAGTATTTTACGGGATTTTACAAAATAATAGCTATAATATGCAAAATTTTGCAAACCAATGCAAAAAAAAATTACAAAGAAAACACTATATATAACATTGATCTGGTATTTAGTCAGAAATATTCATCAGCAAAATAACTATTAATTTAATTTATTTCTTATGAAATTGCTTTTTAAACTAAATTTACATTTTTATTTGCTATTTTTTATTGTTTGAGCCTTTGCCAGTTGGTCTAGTTGGTTCTTTTCACCCATTCACATGTATGCTATTATAAATATTATATAAAACATCTGTTGAATCTAACTTAAAATTCGCAATGCATCTTATAAAACAACTAAATAGCGTATACTTAAAATTTATATTAAGATCTCGTACACTAAACAAAAGTGCACACAAACCAACGAAAGTAAATACTTCTGTTATAGATTTTCAAGCAAGGTCGTTTATCTCCCGATAGCAAAGTTGAAGCGAAGACTTATTATAAATCTTTTCCCTCTTTTTCCAAATATTGTTGGAAAATAATCCTTACTTAACTTATTTTTAAGGTATCGGTGGAGGACTTTTTTACCAGTGGATCTTTAAGCCCCGCTTTACCCTATGTATGTTCTAGCTATGGTTCTAGCCGTTATAATACGTTATCGATATCTCGAAACAATTTTCATTAATTGTAAGATTAAAGTTAACACATTGAACATAACAATGTATATAGTTTGAAAAGCTCTGCGGAGAGCAAACGTTAGTCTACCTACATGAAGAGTAGTCGCTTCTGAATATTTCATATCACGACAGCCGTTTGCCTAGAAGGCCATGGACGTACGTGTTACACACATTTCACATTAGTATTGTGAAAATTATATAAATCGCGAATACTGATATTATTTTGTAATGATTGGATTGATATATTTGGCAGATATCAGTCAAAAATGGATAATCAGTTGGGCTTTCTAAAGTTGAGAAACGTTTGTTTTATTTATATCATTAACAAATATATAAATCATACAGTGTGCAACATTTTATTATAATAAATTTCTACATAAGCTACGAGCGTTAAGACATTCTGTGGTTTATATTAGGAAGGTCATAATTTTCCAGGCTCAAGAGATAATAATCTCAATATACGAATTTTTAATATAATTTATGATAAATTTATGACAAACTCAAAAGATCATTAAGATTATGTCTTAATGACTGTTATAGGATGTTTCATTATATAGCAAAGAAAATAGTAAAATAATAAATTTTACTAATAGCTAGTTTAACGAGACATTGAAATCTAAACGACACTACGCACTAATCTCCTGATTATTCCCTACTATTGTTATTTCAATTGTAGACAAAATACTAGGAATGCAAGAAATCGACTTCTTTTGTGTATAAGAAGACGTTATCCCTGAATAAGTAACCTAAGAGAACCAGAAAGTAACAACTTTCATTGAAAATGGTACAAGGGTATTTATAATTCAACATTGAAGCCCATAGCTACAAAGTAAATACATAATTGACTCATTGCATATGCATGAATCAGAGATACTAGATTAATTTGTAGTATTCTCAACTACAATAAGAATTTTACATATTGTATAATGTTAGCAATATATGTAGATTATCAATTATCACTTAATACCGCGTAATCACAATTTCGCATGTAATGCACTTAAAAAATGTGTTTTTTTTTGTTAAACATGATTTTTGCTTGACTATTGATCTTTTTTCAATCTTCTCGTACATTTATTAATTATATAAAATTTATGAAAAATTATAGTATAAATAATCTGGAAATGATTTCATTTCAATTGAATTGGCGAATTTTGTTAGCCGAGTTCCGCTTAACATCACTTTTTTCATTAATTAATTAATTTTTGAAATAGGAAGCAAAATGTGAATATTCATTTTTAATTTTGCTACAGCATGGTTCGCAATTTTAATCTTCAATTTCAAAATTTTTTTTTTTGCTAAAATGCTCTCTATGAAACCCATTCATGAATTCTATACTGTGTGTGCACATAGGGAAGTTTTTCACAATGGGAAAATACTGTCAATCAAATTCTGCAATAACATTGATCAATAATATGATCATCTATATTTATCCGATGGTAACCTTTCGGTCGTTAATAGCTAAGCATTGTTTTGAAAATGTTTCAGCGGACAGAGAGAATAAATTTAATTTTTTTAATAAGCTTAGAAAAATCTTGAAAAATTCAATGAAGGACATTGACAAACACATCGGTCGGTTATCGAGCTATATGAACAATTATTGAACTACAAAAATGACTTATTATGTAGGGATTTGTGGTAGAGCGGCAAAAATTTAGAGTTGTAAGTATTTTTCAATTCCGTATTGAAGAAATTAAAGTAAAAACAAATGACTCCATGAATTAAAAAAAGGGTTGGAGTTGGTTGATAAAAATAGATTCTTTTTTAAAGTTTTTCATGAACTCTAATGAAAAAGCTAAATTTAAGTCAAAAACTTTCATGACTGCATGCGAGATGAAAAATGATTAGTATACCAAAATGGCTAGGAAAAAATTGGAATTGATGACATAAAAAGAAAAATCTGGGGTTGTATGTAATTTTAGTGCTACATTATGAAAAAAAAATTAAGGGTGAACAACCATTACCACTTAGAGGCAATAAAAAAAAGATAGTAGCCGATTCTCAGACCCACTGAGTACGCATATAAAATTTGGTGAAAATCAGTGAAGCCGTTTTGGAGGAGTACTGTAACTAACATTGTGACGTGGAAAATTTAAACTTCTGAATAAGCCTCCTTTTTTCTTCAAAACATTTTATTCATTTAATTTATTTTTCTATTTTTTTATTTAACGTTTCAAGGAAAGGGAATGTCCCCTTTTCCAAATTTGAAAATGACTAATAATTTTCCAATTCAAACACTCAACAAGCACAAAAACGCTCTAAAAACTATGTTTGATAAGTACGTTTGAAATGTGATGCACAATTAACTAAATTTGTTTTTTAAATTTAAATAAATTAATTAAACGATTTGAATCAATTATAATTGGCATATAAATGTGTAAAATAACGCCAGGCCGTAGGTTTATTAATCATTTCGTCAAGTGGCGCATCGCACCGTGAAATACCGGCAATCGCGTCTGCAGACAGTCACTTATTTCCATTTAGAAATTCATTGAAGCAATATAAGAACGCGAAAGTATACCTTTACTCAGATCGCTTTATCATGAAACTCACTTTCTTCAGCAATAATAAATGTAATGATAATGAACTTGATTTACATTTACACAAAACTCATTACGATTGAGTTGATGACCGTCTAAAGGTTACGCAGCCGATAAGATTTAAGTCTCACAAAAAAAATTAAGTCTTATGTGGAAGGTTTCTAAAAAACTGCCAAAAACAAGTATATATATATATATATATATATATATATATATATAATTTAAAAAAAATCTAATGATTCCTTTCAAACTCGTCGGACGATATACAGAAGTTCTAAACGGTTTAATAGTCTTCAGGGGGCGTCCATTAATCACGTGAGGTTTTTAGAGAGAGGGGGGGTTTGACAAAAAATCATGAAATATCACGTGGGGAAGGGAGGCGTATAGTAAGTGTATTTATTTTTTAACCATTTTTTCAAAAAAAGTTAAGACATTTTCAAAAAAAAAAAAATAGTTTTTCACCTAACTAAAGATACATGGGATGTTTGGTAGGGAAGGGAGGTAATTTTGAATATCACCATGCATCACCAAGGAGAAATGTGTCCACAAATCCTTAAAAGCTCGCTCAAGCGATTAATAGACGCCCCCTCACATATAAAGTGTGCTCAAAATTGATATGCACTATTTCATTTATTAAATATTTAATTAAATATATCAAATATTTAATTTAAATATTCGATATTAATCGTAAAATATTTGTAAATCGTAAAAAGTCTTCAATGCGATGAAATCTTTTCATTCAATTTAGCAATAATTATTAAATGAATAGTCAAAACATTATCTGTTGCATCTAAATAACTTTTTTGGTCAATATGATTTGTATGTAAGTGATAGATATATCAATATATAGTCATTGTTTAAAGATAAATGGTCATTGTGATGTTATTATAGAGGTGAACTTTCTGATTGTACTTAGCGATACCAAACCGCGCAATTAAAATTGTCTTATTTCATTTGAATTTCAAGACCAAAAGACCAAAGTAGACCAAATCTTAATATATTTTTTTTTTAATTTTTTTGAACAGCAATCAGAAGCTTACGTCCTATGAGCTGTTGGGCTGAAACTTCTCCTTACTTCGTATTTTTAGATGGTAACCCAATGGTTAATCCATCCATATTTGATGATTTTAATTAATCTAATAGGGCTGACTTTTTATTGGTGCAGCAATGCCGGGCAAGGGCTATTTTCACTTGGAAACATATTGCTATCTATATTTCCAAGTGAAAATCGTTGTCACTGCTGCCTGGCAAGAGCCTGCTCGAAGTGGGTATCGAACCCGGGACCTCTGAAACAAGTCCCGTCGCTCTTAACCGCTTACCATTAATATACTCAATGTTATAACAAATTGATGTTTTTATTGAGACACAAAATAGGATTTATTTTTATAATTGTTATCCAAATCACTCACTTAGTCCATTTTGTGGTACAAAGTTTGATTTGAACAGTTCTACAGCTGATAACTATGTTACGAATTTTAATTAATAGAAATACACCTTACTTCTATTTTCATCATCACGTTTTGAACCGTGCATTAATATAAAATAATTATTATTTATTTATAGATGCTCAAATTGCTTAATATATGAAACTTTTTCTTTCAGAGTGCCACATCTCAATCAAAACATGCAGCCAGGTTCTTGCGATTGGCAATGGCTTCGATTATGGACATTTTAAAAATTAAACCTTTCGTTGAGGTAAAGTTATAATATATATATATATATATATATATATATATATATATAAATTTTATTAAGTTATAAATATCTATTTTACTATTTATGAGGCTAATTTTTATGAAATTTCATTATAGTTACTTTTACTATAAATATAAAATTAATGAAAATGCATTTTTGAAGAATAATAATAAAACTATATTTCTTCAAGAATAGACGTATTACTAAAAATTGTATATATGGTCATTTCGAAAAGCTTTCAAATGTAAAAATAGCATGAAATTAATAGACCGAATACCAGTGACAAACGATTGTCTCAATTGGTTCAAAATATAAAAAAACTATTAGTGTTAAATTTTTGAAATATTTGGTTGCCGATATTTTTGCTTTTTACAGAGATCTGTAGTTGTGAATTCAAGTTTTAAAATTATTACCCATACACTTGCGTTGTTAAAAAATTTATACTTCAAACTATATGAAACCATAACGTATTGTGTAGAATTTTAGATGTGCATCTTTGAAACAAACATAATTTTAGCACAAGATACTAATGGAATTTACTGTTAACTTATAATGCGTTTCTTATATGATTGCGTTTCTTATATGATCTTATTTATTCTTATTTATAGGTATCAGTAGGGCAACTTCTGTGGGGTTACGAAGACCCTCTATTGAAACTTGCTAAAGACGTCGTGCCTAAAGAACAGAAACTTCCCTATGAAGAATTTGGTCTGATGTACGGGGTAAGAAAATTTAATCAACTAGCAATTTGAATATTTACGAGCAAAATTTGAAATAGGTTCACTGTAATTCAATTTGAACTTTAAGTAATACTTTACAGTATATGCAATACTGTTCAATTTGTTTTAACAACATTAAGGGTTAACATATATATATTTAGTCATATGTCATGTAGATTCATTATATTATACATATACCTTTGTTTATCTATTTTAAGACAAAAATAATACTATCTCAATAGAATTTCTAAACATGCATAAACATTAACAAAAACAATTTGAGTTATGCTATATTTAGTCGATTTATATTACTATTTGAATGTAGTGTTGTCACTAGTTACTAACCAAACTCAATAGCATCATATGATAAAATTAATTAGTATATATTCGATAATAAAAGACAAGCTTTCAATTATGAATGGCCAAATAATGCTGCACTGGCTTTTTAATAAAATTATTTTGAAACATGCAGTTTCATAATACAACCTCTATATATGAGCAATTAAAGCAATGTCTTATTTCATAAAGTAATAAAAACGTGTGAAAATGTATATAAGTTCTTATTTGTTAACAAAATTCATTTGCAAGTCTCTGAATACACCATATTGCACGGTTGTATAATTTTTATCGGTGTCATAAAGTTATGATTTAACCTTCGCGAAATCATTGTAATAAAAATGCAAATGCAGTTCGGCGCAATTACAATTTGACTATTTTCAAATAGGTTTTGAATCTTGCTGTCTTGCAATGTGTCAATTGATGTAATTTATAATATAGTTCTTAATAATTGATTTGAGAGTTCATTTCTTATAGTTACACATAAATAATTTGATTTTAACCATATTATATTATGCTCAAGTATAAAATTAGCTAACTATTAGTTAAATATTATATATATATATATATATATGTGTGTGTGTGTGTGTGTGCATTTAATATCGTTAAATTACTACTTCAGTCTAAAACCACTAAAGTCAAGATTAAGTGCTTCTGAATATAATTTCAATTAAATTAGTATTTTAGTAGTAGATACGGTCATGCCACTTTTTTGTTCAGCCATAATTTTGTTAGTTAACCAATTAGCCGGGAGAAAAGTAAATTAAATGGTAGTTCGAACATTTGTCTACGTGGAAATACTGAAATATTGTTCTTAAATCCTTAAATCCTTAAATACGGTTGGATTAGTCATAAAATTAAATCTTACAAAAAAGAGAGTGAAATCGTCCTTGGGGTGTGGATGCATAATAATAGTTTAAAAGACAATCAATATAAATACGAAAATGGTTTATAACGACTTTTATTGTAAGAAATATGTAGCACATATTCCTGACAATAATGACAACATAATATTATAACGAACCATAATTTTTTAAACAAAATCTCTTTGTGAAATCTTTTGTTTTCTTGTATTAAATTTTCTTTTCTTTTTTTCTTTCGATTTTTGTCTAATAAGTTGATCTTTTTTATCTGTTTAGTCTGCACCCAACAACCACATGTCACAAACATACCCAACACACACTTTTGAAAACAAATCATCGTTATGAATGCGCCGAATTATTTATGCAAAAAATTAACTGTTTTTTTATTTTTATTTACTGTTTTTTATTTATTATTATTATTTTATTTATTTGATTTTGCCTATGTCAAAATCAGTGTAGTTTAGCTGTAATGTCGACAGTCACAACCATACCTAGTCTCCCCTACTGTGAGCCGCTGTAAGACTTTTTTAAAAATACAATATTTCACCAAAGATTTTCAAATAACCATTTCGACAGCTTACATTCTCATCAACTTGTCGAAACAAGACACCGATTTCAAAATTTAATTCCCGGATTAAAAAAACGTATACAACGTTATATTTACATATACTAATATATATATATATATATATATATATATATATATATATATATAAAGCGAGAAGTTTTTCTTCAGATGTAATAGTATGATAAAATTATTCTTGGGTATCCATCCAGTAATTAAAAACAGTTTTATTGAAAGAAAATGTTTTTATTAAGAAAACATACGTTTCGGGTCTTGATTTGACCCATCTTCAGTGCATACAAATAAATTTGAAAATAAAACACAAAAACACACGAAATTGCACGAAAAAATTATGAAACAACAATAATATATTTTATTATAAAAAAAGCTTATTCCAAACGCACATGTTGTCCGCTTGTAACGTGTAAAACGTTTGTTTCATAATTTTTTCGTGCAATTTCGTGTGTTTTGTGTTTTATTTTCAAATTCATTTGTGTGCACTGAAGATGGGTCAAATCAAGACCCAAAACGTATGTTTTCTGAATAAAAACATTTTCTTTCAATAAAACTGTTTTTAGTTACTGGATGGATGCCCAAGAATAATTTTATCATATATACATATATATATATATATATATATATCTGTGTGTGTGTGTGTGTAATATTCATTAAGAAAAAATCAAGTAGAGGGTCAATAAATTATCGTGCTATTCAAGAATCGCATTAGCTATTTTTCTATTAATTTCACATAATATAATCTGGTCAATCAACAGAAAAACGGTACATCCAACGACCGCGTGACCATGTTCACGGGGGCCGGTGATATAACACAATATGGAATCATCGACCGTTACAACGGGCGCTCTCACCTGCCCCACTGGACCCAAGAGCAATGCAATAGGTTGAACGGATCAGATGGATCCATCTTCCCGCCTCACATCTCCAAGAACACGACGCTCTACGTTTACGAGAAGGATTTGTGCAGATTGTTGCCGCTTTCGTAAGAATTCACTTATTTCTTTTCTTCTCATGTCATAAACAATTTAATAAATTGAAGATATAAAATTAAACAGCAATACAAATTATACGCGATGAACTGACTCAGTCACAAGTAAAAACGATATAAAAATTAAATGCAGAAATGAAAAATTTGTAAGATGTTATTTTTTTCTTGTTAGAGCATTTAGCCACCTACAACATTTCTTTTCATATATGTACTATCTTTATACTATTTTTCATCCTATATTATTAAATACTACATATATATATATATATATATATATATATATATATATATATATTGGGGTGGTCCTTAAAATAGTCATTTTCGAATTTCCTTGCTCCCAGGGGCTCAAATGGTTCCAAATAGATAAAAAAACAATTCTCTGGAAGTTTTAGCTCTTAATATTGACGTTTAGATAGAGCGCAATTCAATCAAAGTTTTGTATGGAAATAGCATGGAAAAATTTTCAAAAATTTTAAAAATGTTTTTTAGATGTAATTTAGCGAACAAATGAATGAATAAAACTCATTCTTTTGTCGCTAAGTTATACCTAAAACATTTTTTTTTAATTTTCAAAATTTTTTCATGCTCTTTCCATACGAAGTTTGATTGAATTGCGCTCTATCTAAACGTTAATATTAAGAGCTAAAACTTTCAGAGAATTGTTTATCAATTTGAAACCATTTGAAACCCTGGGACCAAGGAAATTCGAAAATGACCATTTTAGGGACCACCCTAATATATATCCTATTTTATCCATTTTTTACAACTTATTTCTTCTTTTTTTCCTTATTTCTAATTCTATATAACAATTCGAAATTTATATTAGTTTGAAACTAACTAACCAACCATTTAAATTCTATGATCGCTAGCGTGTGAGTCGGGCACACTACTGACTGAACTATGCCCGCAACGTTATGGATTTACTTTAAAAATTTTGGTTTCATGAATTCATACCAAAAACTGCTTACGATTAATATTTTTTTCATATCAAGTGACTGTTTATATTTTGTAAATTGTTAAAGACAAAAGGTATTCATTTTTATCCCCGCTTAGATTTTCACCAAAACATAAATTCCAACCTATGTGTGAAGTAATTATATACTATATTGTAATAATATTTTACAGATTTACTAAAAGATGATCAACATTAATTAATCTTTTATGATTTGTTTCATTGAATTGTCAAAATATGCCATAGAATTATTTTAAAAACGAGAACAACCGTATATCAATAAGTTAAAATTGATTGATTAAATTGTCAAAGGGGTACCAAAAAAATATTATTTCAAAATTAAAAGCTAACACATATAAAATGCAATGTATATTAATTTAAATATGATTTTTTTTATTCTTTCATGTATGGACATCATTCAATCTCACTTTTCATATCATTTTCTGTTTAAGATTACTAAATAACTGCGTGCTTTGTATAATTTGTATTCTAAGATTTTGGTGCACACTCAGTTTTTTCAGCAATTAGAAACTTACGAATTTGAATTATCTTCTAGTTTCGAGAAAGAAATAACAAACAAAGGCGTACCCGGATATCGTTTCACGCCATCTCCTGATGTGTTTGCCAGCGTTGAGAAGAATCCCGACAACGTATGCTTCTGTCCGGCTGGTCCACCGTGCGCTCCACATGGACTTTTCAACGTATCCTTGTGTCAATATGGTAAACGCATTTTAAATTTATAATTAAAGAATTGCATTAGTCGAATGCTTGGAACTAATCAGCTTATTATCGAGTCCATCTAGATCAATAATAATATGTTAATTGAATGAATTTGAGCTGGTCAACTTTCAGGTCACATTCCGAATTTTTCGATATTGTACCAAAAATTATTAATTTTTTTATGAAATGACGCATAAATTTTGGGATGTAAAAGAAAAATTCAGCCTAGAGGGTTTGTTAAGTGTGTTGCATTAACCCCTTAACGCAGTTTTTTTTTTAAAACCGGCCAAAAAAATCAATTATTTTTAATGTAAAAAAATGAGCTTTAGAACATTGTTTTGGCAAAAAACAAAAAAAAATCAAAATTAATCAAAATTTTTAGTTTAATTTTGGATTTTGATCCACATTGTAGAAAAGATCCGAATATTGCAATGTTACACGTTCATCGACTTTTTTATTTTTCATTTCGCATTACTAAAACATTTTATCAGTTAAAAAAATTACATATGTATCGACTTCTCTTTTCTTTTTTTTCGCACAGTGCAATATCTTGTGGGAGCTTCTTTTTTTGGTGTGGGTGGAACAAAGAAGTATTATAGCTTACAATCCTATGTAAATGATAAATATCAATAGCACGATTCTTTTTCTTAGCTTTCACTCTCGAGTGTCGAATTAACTCGAGCGTGCAAGTTATGGGGTTAAAATTTCATGTATAAAATTTATCCATTTTTTGCACATTTTCTACGCATATTTATATCTTATTTGATATAAATACACTTTACAAATAATATTAGCAGCATTTATAAGAATCTCACTTACATCCATTTGATTTATGAGTGACAAGGAAATAACACCGCTAACAACTACGTTCGTTTCCTATCCAGCAATTCTCAAATAGATATGTAGTATGTATATGTAGTATATATACTTTTTCACAAATATTTTTAGTATGCAAAATCAAGTATTCGGTTCTGTATATTCATTAATTGCTAAAATGTGTATTAAATGTTCATATCACGACAAAGTAGTATCACTCAGATTGTCTGTAACATTAAGTATCACATACATTATACAAGCCAGTGCTGAATAATCCGAACACATCATGAAATCATATATTCGTACAATTATGCAAGTGTAAACTGTTTTTGCTCCACAGATTCGCCGATCTTGCTGAGTTTCCCACATTTCTATATGGCAAATGACTCACTGAGGCTTGCCGTCGAAGGCATCTCGCCACCGGAGAAAGATAAACATCAACTTTACATCGACGTCCAGCCGGTTAGTACACTCGCACGATAATACATTACACTTTCAAATCGTTCACTGTTTTCAACACTAAGCTGTCAGATTTATAATTAATTATTAATCCTAATAAGGAGAACCCGCGCGTTGCTCGTCTCGGGTTTAATGAAACTTGGCACAATGGTAAATTTGATGCCCAAACTGACCGTGGTAAAATATTAGAGACCTATGAAAAGTGGTTTATTTATAAAAATTAATTAAAGTTTGCATTTTAGCAGCGCGCGGCATGCATAGCTTGCAATGCTTTGCCTTATCAATAGCAGATTGACCGAGTGGCTATCATCGTGGAATTCTAATTTTTGTTCCAGGATTCAATCCCCGATTCAGATTTAATTAAATTAAATCAATGCATCCATGTCTTGTGACCGTTTTAGTTCAGCCGAAAATCTAAGAAAATTTTTTGATCTCTTGCCAATATTAACCCTTTCGCTGCGGGTGTGGTTTCCGTAGTAGTGTCGCTGCTGTACGGGACAGATGGGAAACAGCGTGTCGCTCAGTTGCACTACTGAACGAACAGGCACAACGACATATTTTAAAATATTTCTATGGTTATCTATAAAAATGTGTTCAGAAATTAAAAATTACGCTTCTAGTGAATTAGAAGTTACAATTAAAGACTTCTTTCTCTCTCAATACCTTAATCATAGTGATAAATCTGAAGCAAAGGCAAACATAACATGTCGTCCAGGGTCGACATTCGTACACTCAGCGCGTCATGTGGATGTCCTCTAAGTACGGCATCCATAGCGAAAGGGTTAAATCTAATTAATAATTATAAAGTTTCGTAGACTACGCACGATAGATCGTATTGTAAAGAAATTTGAATTTTCTTTTTAATTCAGCGTAAACATATTAAACGTTACCTGACTAATAAACAACATGTGATATTTTATTTTATTAACTGAATATTGAATGTGTATCAATCACTATTTGATATAGAAATAATAAGTTCAAAGTAACTCATCTATCCATATCAGCAATAAGAGAATCCCAAATACTCGATGTCATTAGTTCCATAACCTGATAAAATTCAAAATTTGTAATTATGGTATTTTGCAGTTCAGCTTATGTAATTATATTTATTATTATTTCAATTTATTCAGGAAATGGGAAATGCTCTCCAAGCACGCGCTCGCATTCAAATCAATTTAGCAGTTTCACAAGTGGTGGATATCAAACAAGTAGCTAACTTCCCCGATATTGTTTTCCCAATTTTGTGGTTCGAAGAGGTAAGATATAGATTATATTTAATTTGGAATATTTTTATTTGTGATAATATTTACATTTATAATAAATAATAAAAAAAAAATTTAAAAAAATGTATATAGTAAAGCACTGCTTCCATCGAGAGTTCTATGAAAATAAAGACAAGTATGAACGAACAAATGAAACAGATCATATGAATTACTACCACTAGAATAATATTTGCATATACATTGTCAGCATTAGAGAAAATATAAAATTCAAGAATTGATTTGTTTTATGAGATAATGATGCATCGACAAGAGAACAAATCGATACCGTTTCATTTAAACTTCTATCAAAATTTTCATAATTTTCAATAAATTATTATATATTAAATATAATGTACATATTTCTATTTGCTCCTTATTGAAATTGCTATGAATTATTTTTATAGTTTTCATCATAATCAAATATGTATATACTTATTATTGTGTTAATTATATACCTCCTAATGAAAAAAACTATTGAGGAAAGAAAATTGAGTAAAATTTATTTAAAATTCTAGTGCAAATTAATTGGAAATTAATAATTACAGCTATTTGAAGAAATCTGTATGATAAAAATAAAATCTAAATTACCTGGTCTAAAACGAGATACTTATACATTTTTATCTTTTCATTAAATTAAAATTATTTTTAAAGTAGTTCAATTGTAAGTCATGAAGTCTTACGTATGTTCTTAAGTACCCTAGGATATTAGTCGAATTGTATTCAGAAATGATATATTCAAATTCAGGTGGAAATATTGATTCTTAGGATTCTGATAAACGAATGAAAAAAATAATAATTGAGATATTTCTGCCAAAAATATATATCTATAACACCGTTTGCTATTGCAGGGAATCGACCATTTGCCCGATGAGATCACCGACCTATTAAATTTGGCAACCAAATATCCGCCAGTTGCTAAAAAAGTTCTTTCTTACGGCATGCTCGGTTTGGGAGTGTTGGTCGTTCTCTTGGCAATCACATGTCTAATTCGATCATCACACCGGCAAAGTACTTTGCATTTAGAAGGATCGAGTTATTTGGCGGCCATGCACAACAATGCGGCCAATCCGGAGAAATCGAAAACTGGTGAAGTTACAAACCCCGGATTCGAAATGGGCAATAAGTGATTATAAAAGATTCATTCGTTTAGTACTATAACAATATTTCCTTTTAATAATTTTGATATAAAATACTATGATGTTTTTTTAATTAAAAGCTATGTACTATATGTAACTATAATAAATTTACGAAAATTATTAATAGAATTACTGAAAGTGGTATTAAATTAATACCTTATGTTTAAAAGTTTTATCAGGTATTACAATATTACCTTAATTAATACGAAAGTATTATTAGGATAAAACTGAATAAAGTTAATATTCAATTAAAAATAATTTTAAATTTATATATTCTTAGACCATTAAAAGAAAAATTATATAGCTCTGAACAAGGTGTTTCCTGGAATATATAAAATTTGAATTGAATATTAACATTTCAATGATATGATGAATTTAATTTTATGCATTATAATAAAAATATTTATACTACATAAGTTTAAATTCAAAAAACTAGTAAATATGTGATGGCAAATATTTTTAAAAAGACATATAGGTAAGATGTGATGATAACGTAAAGGATTCAAACATTTGATTTGATTTATAACGAATATTGCTCGTTGCATAGATAAAAAAAATATAATTATAGATAATATTTCCTTTTTTCAAAATTGTTCCATTATTATGGTAAATAATATTTGTCATAATATATTTCTTGAGTATGATAATAATAAATTTAAATAATGTTATTTAAATATGTACTTAAATTTATGTATACACGCATTTGTATGATATTGTTTATATTTAATTTTAGTGGCGTTATTTTTAATAAAAGTAATTTTTCAAACTCTTTCAGAGCAACCACCGAATATACAAGCACATATCAAATGTTTATAACTATAAATATAAATATGAATTTAAAAAGTAACAATGTAATAAATAATATATTTCCAACATTTCAATTAAATTTGTGTATCTTGAACCGAACCTTATTTCTATCAGATAAAAAAATATTTTATTTTTTTATATGTGCCTAAATTTCACTTTTGACAGATTGTGCAAGTTAATTTGAATATTAAAACATTCCAATTGAAGTGAAGTGTATTCCAACAATTTATAACGATAAAGTTCGATTTAGAAATTAAAAATAACATTATTGGTATTCTCTTAGTATTATTGAAATAAAAGATAATATGAATACAAATAAAGCGTCAATCTGTACTTCCACTCGATTAAAAAAATAAAAATGTTTTGTTTAATACGAATTAAAATAAGTGAAAGCTCTCTTCAGAATTAAAATACTCTGCCCTTAAAAATCTACTACATATATTGTGGATAAAGTAGAATTCAAAGTTCACTCAATAATAGTTAAATGGTATATCGTATAGATACAAGTTTCATCAATTTCATAATAATAGTTTTTTTTTATTTTTAAATGTATATATGAAACTAAAGAATAGATATTTTTATATAAGTATATGGTATTTAGGCAGTAAATTTTATACTTAAATAGTACTTATATGTATTTTATGTTACAATGTAATAAATATATTGTTAAATAAAGTTGTAAAAATACCAATGAACGTATTTTAATTGATATGAATTATGAATTGATAAGCATTTCATATAGTCAACATTTTAGGATTCACATTCTATTATATAATTTGTAACATCTGAAATTCAGGTATTTGTACCGCGTTATATAAATAAATACAAAGGACAGTATAAATTATTAATTGTTTATATTGAATTGAGTTCATATAGAAATATGATAAAAAAATTATTTTTATTGAACGTTCATATAAGGATATGATAAAAAAAATATAAAAAAATTTCATTAAAAAAATTGCATAAAACGATTCAATGGCCGATAATAAAACTTATATAAAAATACCGCGTTATAGGAAGTATATTAAATACCTTAAAATTATTACATACACAAATATTTAAAAAATGCCATCATTCAAGAAGGTATAACGGTACTAACATTTGAATCAACCAAAACCACTTAAAAATCAGATGGATAACAAAAATTCTCCAGGATTGTGGTTATAAACGATTAATATTTATAGCCAAAATATCTCATATTTACATAAAACGAATTACTTTCACTTCAAACCATCATCGCCTTCAGAAATAATATTTAGGTTTGAAAACTATAAACTCTTCACATTATACATAATTACTTACCTTATGACCGTTATACCTTCGTTATTTTTCTTATTGTTAGTATACGAATAGTATTGTTTCATACAAGAATCCTAAAATTTTTAAAATGTTTTAATTTAACCCAGAAACCTATCTGCTAATTGATATCAGAAGTTTTAAAATATTATTATACCCAAAAACTTATAGACTAATTGGTATCGGAAACGTATCGTTATATCTAGAAATATGTGGCAATTATCAAATGTAATTGTACATAAACGAGTAAGGACTTTTGAATTTAGATTCGTGAAAATATTTTTAAATAGAAATACTCATAATTACTTGTACTTACAATAATACTTAATAATTATTTGCATAAATCTCAATAATAACTAACATCAACACCAAATTTCTATATGTTTTGTATTATTCATTCGAACAGATCAATTGTAAACATTGACTTTGACAATTGCTTTCGAATCACCGATAAACGGCGGAGCGCCCGTAACTATAAAACATTTGGAACAAATAAATGGTTTCTACAACACGCTAAATACTTTTTGTAGTAAGATTCATAATTAAGATAACAAAAATGTACTTACTCAGAGAATGGGACATTATCCTTCTAATTCTGTTGCTCCGATATCTTCAGTACACAGTGATCGTCTACATGGCTTCCACTTTCATTTAATCAATATGACCCGTTTCGGTCTTCTTTTAAATCATCTATAAATTTATTAAGTTTATATAGAAAGTAATATAAATTTATATGTAATAATTATTTATAAAAATTATAATCTAAAATACGTAAGTAATTATTAAGACAAGTTGAACGATAATTACAATTTACCTAAAAGTCCGAAGCACACAATTCTCAATTGACCACCAGTTCACCGACTATCCATCCGATCGGCACAATCGCTCACACACAATGCAGATCAAAGGATATATGAAGCAAATTGCTCGTCAGTTTCGTCCATTTTCGGATCGGTAAGCGAAAGTTTACGAACTTTATTGGATAAATCTTTTTTTTTTAATTACAATATTTATTATAACTGTTAAATAGTTAACATCTAGCAATATTGATAAATAATAACATAAATTTAAATAAATAAGAGTTCAAAGGATAAAATTTACATGAAAATAATATCCGTAGTATGATGATTTAAATAAAATAAAAGCAAATAATAATAAAATTAAAATTAATAAATAATATGAATAAAATTTCTAAATAATAAAATAATACTAGAAAAACAATAAAATATAACAAAATAACAATAATAGAATTGGGCCAGCGGTGGCGATATCGGTTAGAGCGTGGGCTAGCACCAATTAGTCCCAGGTTTGCTGAGTCGATTCCCGCTAACGCCAAGTCTGACATCAGGCAACTTTGATGTCAAATTTCCACTTGAGGTCATAGATCTCAAATATAGCCTCAAGTGAAAATCGCCTCTCGTGGGTATAGTTGCACATATAATAAAGATGTTAGCAAATACTTCGAGTATAGATAATTAGTCCTTATAACTAGTAAACTTATAACTAGTATCTACTGGTTTACATTGTGAGATAATCATTGTTAGCAATCTCTGCTTAATGTTAATGCTCATGTAAAACAGATTGCAAAATAAATTAAATAAAAAAATAATAGAATTAGTAAGATAATAATAATAGTAATAATAATATTAATGTTAGCGTTTACAAATGGCTATTTATAAGATCATTGGGAATTTTTCGTTTTAGCCTGGTTGGGCGCGCTTCTGAGAATACTGGGAAGATAAAAAACTGATCAAATTTTCATGAAGGCAGGTCTATCGGTTTAGGAGATCTAGCAAAAAAAAGTAAAAAAAATGCCATTTGGCGGTCAAAAATGATCATTAGACATATGCACATCAAATTATCAGATATTTTATATTTTAGCGAAACAGCACATTTCAATAAAACGACCGTAGTAAGATTTTATTTATTTTTTACTAGATATTTTTAACGGGCTCGCTCTTACAAGTGTTGAGTGAGCAGTTAGGGGATGAAAAAAAGATCTCGGGTAATGTTATTTAAATATGTACTTCGATTATGCTCGATTCCACTTCTACCAGCCTGATATCAAGCAGTAGAGACATCGGTTTTATCTTGAAAATATCCGGCATTTCTACATCAATAAATATTATTACAAAATTTTTAACAATTGTCCTATTACAGAAATTGTAATAAAACATTTGTCACACAGAGATGAGACAACAGTTTGGATATGGGCGTAGCATTGAGTCAAATCAGCAAAACAGCTTCAGGCCTGTATATTTTTACTTTGTATGATTTCCTATGCAGCTATGCCCGCGAAAGACGATTTTCACTTGAGATTATATTTGAGATCTATAACCTCAAGTTGGGCCCGCTCGTAGGTAAGCGGTTAAGAGCGACGAGACTTGTTTCAGAGGTCCCGGGTTCGATACCCACTTCGAGCAGCCTGTTGTCAGGCAACAGTGACAATGATTTTCACTTGGAAACATAAATAGCAATATGTTTTCAAGTGAAAATAGCCCTCAGCCGGCATTGTTGCACCATACTTGCCCTATTACAGAGATTGTAATAAAAATTTATCATACAGAGATGTGACAACTGTTTGGGTTGCCATCTGTAATAAAACAAACGTAGTTTGTAAGATATTAATCACAACAGCTCATAGAACCCATAAGTACCGATCGCTGTTCAAATAAAATTATAAAAAAAAATAATAACCTCAAGTGAAAATTTGATATAACTCTACCTGGTACCTGATTGGCATGAGCTAGCCCACGTCCTAACCGTTATGCCACGACTTGCGATAGATGACACCGACAACCCAATATGATCATATCTTTTACTGACGTGAATTTTGTTATTTCAATTTCTGTAATACTGATGATTTATTTTATTGATGCATCAATGCAGGTAAGG